AAAAGTTTTGTTGAAACCATGAGAGGTGGCAAAATGATGGGAAAAAACTTTGAAGAGCTGTTGAAAATGTTTTGTTTGGTAAATCATTTTGCAACAACAAATGATGCTTTCAGAATTATAATAGAAGCCAAGAAAATGTGCAAAATAACTGCCTCCTGAAAACAAATAAAATTTTAAACTCTAAAAACAAATAATAATTATAAGAGCAAAAATTCTTAAAACATTTCACTGTCACCTGATACGTTTTACAATCTTTCAAATAAGTCCCAATCAACACTTTCAGACGTTAACAGCGCTTTTGTTCACGGAAAGAAAAAAGTTGTGCTAAAATTTATAACTTTAAGAAACAAAAAGAAACAAAGGGAACAGATCTTGTAAAAAAAATTTGAATATTATTTAAAAACTACAAAAAATTCTTTTGAAAAGAAATTTATTTTATTATTTCAAATATCGTCTTTTCTTATTTGCTCATTGTTACTGTAGTCACCTATCAAATTTTTACTTTCTTGACAATTTTTACCTTAGTATCATTATAGCTTTTGCAGCTATTTAGCTTAAGTAAAACTGTTTATTCGATAGCTGAAATATACAGCTAAATATTGAAATTATAATAAACTCATATTTTAGTTGTCCCTACGATTCTCTTACCATTTATGATGGAAATTCGAACAGAGTTCCAATTATCAGAAAGGCTTGTGGATTGCATCAGAACCTTATTCTTTACTCTTCAGGGCCTTACGCATTTATTGAATTCAATTCAACTAAACCTGGCAGGTCAAGCCCAAGAGGGTAAGCTGATTTATACTGTCACTTAAGAGCAGCGTCTTCAAGAGTTTCTAGAGCTGTATTTAGTGTTCATTGTATAACTTCTAAGTTTAGCACATTGAATAAGCTTTATTCGTCAGCTTCAGTTTAAAACTGATCATTGATACTGCTTTCAGTTAATGATAGATTACAATCGCTTTGCAAGGTTTTTTATAAGGTAGTTTATTATTTTTTAAACACAGGTAACAGACTTTGCTTAATAGGTAAGCAGCAGTATTTTTTTTTTTTT